CTGTCCGATCTGGTGTCACCTGTCCTGGGGCTGCCCAGGTGAGTTCATAACACCCACACCATCACTCAGGTGAGTCCCTCACCTGTCCAGGTGTGTCCCTCACCTGTAAATGTGCACGTCCCGTGTCTGTCCAATCCGGTGTCACCTGTCCTGGGGCTGCCCAGGTGAGTTCCCATCCCCTCAGGTGAGCACTCAGCTCACAGGTGAGCCCATAACTCCCCTACAATCACTCAGGTGTGCCCAGGTGTATCCAGGTGTGCCCAGGTGTGTCCCTCACCTGTAAATATGCACATCCCGGGTCTGTCCGATGCGGTGACACCTGTCCTGGGGCTGCCCAGGTGAGTTCCCCATCCCCCCAGGTGTGCCCAGGTGTGCCCAGGTGTGCCCCTCACCTGTAAATATGCACATCCCGCGTCTGTCCAATCCGGTGACACCTGTCCTGCGCCTGTGCGTCCATGGTGGGGTTCCAGTCCGAGTCGTAGAACACCACCGTGTCGGCCCCGGCCAGGTTGACGCCGACGCCGCCCGAGCGCGTCGAGAGGATGAAGCAGAAAATGCGTTTGTCGGCGTTGAAGCGCTCCATCAGGGCCTGCAAACGGGGACAGGTGAGGCCAGGAAACACCTGGAGCACACCTGAGACACCTGGGGAACACCTGGGGCACACCTGAGACACCTGGGGAACACCTGGGAACACCTGAAGGGGCTGGGAGCGGTTTTGGGGTAATAGGGAGTGAAAAAATGGGGAAATTTGGACACCTGGGGCACACCTGAGATACCTGGGGAACACCTGGGAACACCTGGGGAACACCTGGATGGGCTGGGGGTGGTTTTGGAGGAGAAAAAAGTGAAAAAATGGCAGAATTTGGACACCTGGGCACACCTGGGAGGGCCTGGAACGGGGACAGGTGAGGGTGGGGCAGGTGACACAGCTGGGAACACCTGGATGGGCAGGTGACACACCTGGGGCACACCTGGGGAACACCTGGATGGGCTGGGGGCGGTTTTGGGGTAATAGGGAGTGAAAAAATGGCGAAATTTGGACACCTGGGCACACCTGGGAGGGCCTGGAAATGGGACAGGTGAGGGCGGGGCGGGTGACACACCTGGGGAACACCTGGATGGACAGGTGACACACCTGGGACACACCTGGATGGACAGGTGA